TCCTACGTATGTCAACAGACATTAGAATTAAAAATTGTTAGGAAAACAACTTTTCATGTAACAGCAAGGTCAAGGGTTTGATCCTCATACCAGCCAGCCACCAAAAAAGAAAGAAAAACAGTTTTCCAAAAGGCTACAGCACTTGTCTCTGGGTTGCAGGGTTATTGGTGATGCTGGCTTTTCCTCATTTTCCTCTCCATTTCCCAAATTTCTACCATGTATATGAACAATCTTTAAAGTTAAAAAAAAAAAAAGCAGTAAAAGTTATTTTACGTGAAAGAGGAGATTCTGCCAATAAACCAGCCTCGACACTGAACAAGCAGGGTCTTCTGGGGACCCTGGGCCTCATGCTCACACTGTGTGCACCTCCCTCAGGAGGGAGAAGCAAGAGGTGGGGAGGACAGAAAACAAGAGCGCACAGCTGGGCTGCGGAGAGGCAGTACAGGACCCCCCTTGGAAACCACTGGTAACACACAGTAGGAAATAAAAATACTGGTTCCTGGGGAACAGGTAAACAAAATACTCTCTACCCATATTCGGCCATCAAAAGAAATGAAGCCTTGATACGTGCTACAATGTGGATAAATCTCAAGACCATTGTGCTAAATGAATGAAGGCCATACAATGTATGAAATATCTAGAATAGGTAAATCCAAAGAGACAGAAAACAGATTAGTGCTTAACAGAGGCCAAGAGAGCAGAGAATGAGGAGTGACTGCTAATGGGGACTAAGTTTCTTTCTGGCGTGATGAAAATAAATGTTCTGGAATTAGATACTGGTGATGGTTGCGTGTCTTTGTGAAGACATTAAAAATCACTAAACCGTACAGCTTAAAAGGTGATTTTTATGACATGTGAATTCAATGAGAATACATTTAAAACCACAATGTTCTGAAGAGCTGTAATGCAGCAAAAAGTCTTTCTTCTACAAAGTATCACAGAGGGGGCAGCAGCATTATTGACAACAGCTAAAATATGGAAGAAACCTAACTGTCCACCAATAGATGAGTGGATAAACAAAATGCGGTATATCTATATAATGGAATACTACGTAGCCTTAAAAAAGGAAAAAAATGCTGACACATGCTATAACATGGGTAAGCCTTGAAGACATGTTGCTTAGTGAAATAAGCCAGTCACAGAAAGACAAATACTGTATGATTCCACTTATGTGGGGTAGTTAATTCACAGAGACAGAAAGTGGTTGCCAGGGGTTGATGGGGAAGGGACAACAGGGGAGTTAATGTTTAATGGATACAGAGTTCCCATTTTACAAGCTGAAAAAGAGTTCTGGAGATGGGTTGTGGTGATGATTGCCCAGCATTATTAACATATTTAATACCACTGAACTGTACACTTAACAGTGGTTAAGAAAGTTTTATGTTACATGTATTTTACAGTAAAAAAAAATTGGGCTGGCAACACAAAGGTCAAGGGTTTAGATCCCCTTACAGGTCAGCCACCAAAAAGCAAATTTGTTTTTAAAGTGGGAGGGAAAGCAGGATACAAAGTTGATAACATCATGAAAGATATGGAAAGTAAAAAGATCCAAATAGCTGTCTTGGGGTGACCTGAAGGTTTTTTATTTCTTCCGCTATAAATTCTAAACTTTGTTGTTGTATGCTTTTTTGATGTAGAAAACCATCTTATTTCCAAAGAGTCCTGTGCCATGCTCCCACCTATCCTGATATTCCCATTAAGCTGATGGATCCTGGCACTGAGATCTGGCAGCCTCCAGGAGAGCCTCTGGGAGGCTATCCTACTGGACTTTCTCATCTTGGCCCAAGTCTTCCCACAACCCCAGGGGTGAGAGCCCATGAGCAGCCACTCACACCCAATCTCCACATTCCTGAACACCCTGGAGATGTCAGGCCCTGAGCCAAGCCTGGGGTACATCAGGAATAAGGCTGAAGTCCTGCCATCAAGGAAAAATCACAAACTATTAGAAAAGGCAAGAGCTGGGCTGGCCAGTTAGCTCAGTTGGTTAGAGTGTGATATTGATAACGGCAAGGTCGACAGTTCAGATACCCGTACTGGCCAGCCACCACCAAAAAAAAAAGAAAGAGAAGGCAGAAGTTGGCACAGAGCTTTGTGGAATGTTAACAGGGTACACACTTTAGACCTGCAAACTGAAATTCTTGGATCTTGTCACCATGATCACACGCCACGCCCTACTCAAAACTGTTTGGTGCCCTCAGTATTTCTCAGGACAATGACTGAGCTACCTCCTACCTCACTCCAGGACAGCCTCTTTGGTGCAGCACCTTAGGCTGTCTCAATACACAAGGGCTCTCTTCCCTCCCTGCCCTCTGCTGGGCAAAGCTTTCCCTGCTTCTTCAATGGACCAGCTCTGCACAGGCCTTCAGCATGCAGAACCTCTCTGTGCTCCTGTGGTGGCCACTGTGCCAAGGAACACATTGCCTCATTTTATTCTCCAGCAGCTCTGGGGTGTGACCAGCACCCATCTGCTAGCAGACTGTGAGCCCCATAAGGGTAGGTACGGAGTCTGGGTTTCTGCCCTGCGTTACACCCCTGCACCCTGCCCCTCAGCTGGTTGGCAATAAATAACCTCCTCTCCCCCATTTCTCTCCTGCCACAATAAGCCTCCAGAGAGCACCTGTGTCATTACTTGGCTCATCAGGTTGTGGCTAGGTGCAGGCACATGCTGACTACTCTCACAGCAAAACCTTCTGGCTAGTGACCCTCTAAGACCCCAATCCAGGCTCCAGGAGGCACTTACTCGCCAGGATGTGGAGGCTGAGGGCTGGCCACCTGATTCTGCTTGGCTTTCTGCTCCATTTTGGCTTCAATTTCCCGTTTCTTCTGAGCGATGAGCTCTTCTTGGTGAAGGATGTTCATGTTCATTTTTCCAGACTTGGGGGGAGCAACCCCAAACCACCGGTTAGCCTTTCCTGGGGAGAACAAAAAAAAGCACATCAGAAATCACGTTTGTTCCACAAACATCCCCAAATGCAACAGGCTAGACAGCAACTGATGTACAGATTGATTCATATGTCCATTTGTTCCTATATTCAGCGAACACTTACAGAGCGCCTGCTACATACCAGGTGTTGTACTAGGTGCTAAACAAGACAGACGGGGCCTCTGCCCTCATGGGACTCGCCTCTGGCTGAGGAGACAATAGACCCGTAACAAAAAAAATAACTGCACATTGTGATAAGAACTTTACTAGAAACCAAAAAAACAGTGAGAGAAAGTAACAGAGGAGTGCCCACACAGGTAGAGAAGCCAGAAAATGACTATTATAACAGCAAACATTTGGGCTGGAACCACAGAAGGAGGAGCCACCAACATGAAAAGCCAAATGGGGAGTGATCAGGGCAGAGGAAGGAACAGATGCAAAAGCCCAAGGAAGGAAGGAGCCTGGTGTGTCCAAGGATCAGCAAGGGACCAGAGTGGCCAGAGTGGACTGCTCCAGGAATGAGCAGAGGTGGGGCATGACAGGAGATATGGGTTTTACTTTAAGGTCTACAGGAAGCAACAGGGGAGTATTAAGGTAAGGAAGAATAAGATCCAACAGATATTTTTATTTTAAAATCATCTTGGCTACTAGGTGATCATTCTGGTTACAGAGTGCACAGGCAGCAAGGAGACCAACGAGACTTGCTGACTCCAAGCAAAGGACCACAGTGTCTTCAGACTAGGTGATAGCTGTGGAGATGGAAAAGCACTTCAAACGTTCCCCATGGCACTCAGAATAAAAAGCACATTCTGAAAGTCGATTTTCAAGGCCCTGCCAAAGATGGCTCCCCTCCCCACTTCTGCTTATCTTTGACATTCTTCAAAAGGACAAGCCCATCCCACCCAAGGGCCTTTGCACTTGCCATCCCCTCCCGTGTGCAATGCTCTGCCCTCCAGGCCTTCCCATAGCTGGCATCTACTCGTCTTAAATGTCTTCTGCTGGAAAAGGCCTTCCCTGACCACCGATAGCAACAACCTCCACCCCTGCCTCACATCATCACAACTTGCTTTGTAAATGTTTGCTTGTTGATGCACTGTCTGACTTCCCGGGAGAAAGAAACCCTCAGGAAGACAGGGCTCCGTTTTGGTCGCCGTGTACTCTCAGCGCCTAGCACGGTGCCTAGCACACAGTGAGCACGACCTGAGTATCTGCAGAGTGGCTAACTGCATCCCATTCTGGGGGAGTCGGAAGGGCAAAACACGTGGGCAGGCGGGTTCACTAGACGCGGAGAAGTGCGCACAGGGGGCCCCAAGGCACCTCAGAGAGGCAGCTTCCCCAGAAAGCGGGACGCGGGCCAGACGGCAGCGGATACCGAGAGAGGCGCGCGGGACAGCCCACGGTGGCCGCTGTGCCAGGGAGCGAGCCTGCAGCAGCCCTGAAGGAGATTATTTCGGGAAGGTGTGCAAGGAGGGCCGGCAGGCGGGCTCTACGGACAACCGGGCGTTCTCACAAACCAGCGGCGGCGGCCGCAACCTCAGGCTGAGGTCTCCAGGGGACGGGAGAGGTGCAGAAGCTGCCGCTTTGGGCTGCGCAGGGACTGAGGCGAGGGTCCCCTGGGTCGGGGCACGACCCTCAGGAGGGCGAAGAGCCTACACGTCTCCTCAAGAACCGCGGCCGGGGCTTGAGGGGAGGCAGGGGCTGTTACCTGCAACATCCCGGTTGTCCATCTTGAGAGTCATCCGATCCCACAATGCTCCAGCGCCACCTGAGGCAACTTATTATAGGGCGCATGGCTTTACGGGAGATGTAGTCCGCGTCCGTCAGCCACGCCCCGCAGCTCCGTGGACGCCTACGGTCTTCCCTCCAGGAATGCAGGCGTCAGCCTATCGGCGGTGTCTGAATCTCGGTCCTGAAGACCCGAGGGCGTCGCCTTTTCTCACACCTTCCCGGAACCGCGGCCATCCAAACAACAAACTACATGCTCCAGAATGCTTTGTGCGTCAGCTCTCGCGAGAACCGCGAGAAGCGCCTGGCCCCGCCCTGCGCGCCTGCTTCCGGCTCCCTGTGGTGGCGGCTTGTTGTTGTGGAGGCCAAAATGGCGGCTCAGGCGGCGGCGGCGGCCCAGGCAGCACAGGCCGAGGCATCCGAGTCGTGGTACTTAGCGCTTCTGGGTTTCGCCGAGCACTTCCGCACTTCCAGTCCTCCCAAGATCCGCCTGTGCGTGCACTGCCTACAGGCCGTGTTCCCCTTCAAGCCGCCGCAGCGCATCGAGGCCCGCACGCACCTGCAGCTCGGCTCCGTGCTCTACCACCACACCAAGAACAGCGAGCAGGCGCGCAGCCACCTGGAGAAGGCGGTGAGCGCGGGCCGGGCCTCGAGGGAGCGGGCGAGGGCTCCTCGCAGGGCCCGGGCGGTCCGGCCGCTCCCTGGGGGCCGGGGCCCGGGGACGAGACCCCCGTCAGAGCGGCGGACCCGGAGCCGCCAGCCTCTCCGGGCGGCCGGGGCCTCGGCCCTCCTTCTTTCTTGTCCCGGCGTGACGGAGAGATCCTCCCTCGGGGTGCGCCGAGAGGTGCCGCTTCTCTGGAGCAACAGGGTGCCCAAACGGTCGGGGACTTGGGAGAGTGTCTCCCGTTGGTGACGACAGCGACACCCCAGATCGGCCCCGGGTCCTGTGGCTTCCAGCTCCTCGGGGCTCAGCCCTCGGAGCGTCAGCCTTAGCGCTTGCACCTGAAGTGACTGGATAGGGGAGGGTGGAGAGGACGGCCCAGCCGTCCCCTGGGAGTCTGGGGTCCGGTCTGTCGTCTCCCCCCTGGACCCGGAAGTGTAGCACTTGGAGTGTTTGGAAGGTCTTGTGTCCCCATCAGTAGTGCCTAGTGTTGTTGGAGGGAAGCCAAGACCTGGAACCTGGATTTTGGCATTTGAGGTCCCGTGAGGAGGGAAACTGCAGTCTGGGATACGGGGCCACTTGCCCAGTGCAGGGGATGCCACAGCTCCTGCTTTCTCTGTGCGGAACCTGGATTTTGGCATTTGAGGTCCCGTGAGGAGGGAAACTGAAGTCTGGGATACGGGGCCACTTGCCCAGTGCAGGGGATGCCACAGCTCCTGCTTTCTCTGTGCACTGGAACTCCTCTTCTGCTACCGTCCGCTAGTCCATCCTCTTCAAAGGGACACCCCACCCCACCCCGCCTTGTGGCATCTTAGTGTTTCAGAAAATGTGGGAAAGTGGCTGTGGTTCTGCCTGCGGATAAACTGGCGTGGAGTCGTGTATTCTCACAGCAGTGCTGTGTTTCTGTCGACCCGTGCCTTCTTTTTACTACTTATCCAGCTCCGCTCTGGTTAAAGGGGAGACTTCTTGAAGGGAACCAACTCAGATTTTTAAACTTACTGATCTGAGGTGAATTCGAACCTATCCTCAGCTAGTAGCGAGTTGCCTTCAGGAGGAGAGCAGGACTTTGTTTTGCAGACCGAAATGCTGGAAGGGGACTTTAGTCCTCACTTGATTGACTTCCTTGTTCAAGGAGTGAGGCAGTGTGGGCCCAGAGAGGTGAAGTGATTTACCGAAGACTGCTCAGTGAGTTATAAACAAAACTGGACTCAGACCCAAACTCAAGGGTTGCCAGGTTGCACACCAAGACAGTACGTCGTTATTGTTTGGGTGAAGTTTTTTTTCTTTCATTCATTCAGCTGATATTTGTTCAGCTCAGGCTGGGTGCCAACCCCTGTTCTAGGTGCTAGGCATCAGTGAGGATTAAAATAGTCCTTGCCTACCTAAGCTTATGTTTTATTTATTTATTCATTTATTTAAGATTTTTTGGTGGCTAGCCAGTACGGGGATCTGAACTCTTGACCTTGGTGTTTCAACACCGCATTCTAACTGACTGAGCTAACCAGCCAGCCCTAGCTTATGTTTTAGTGAGGGAGACAAACGTTAAGTATGTAGTAAAAGTTTAGGTAGCTATATGAGAACCATGAACATTATGGACCAGGGAGAAGGGATAGAGTTGACGTCGAACTATTTTTGGCAGGGGTAGTGAGGGAGTCTTTATTTGTGGGAGTGACATTTGAGCAGAGGCCTGAATGGGTGGAGTAGCGAGCCTGGAGACCTGCTCAGGGTGTCAGGTTGATGGCAAGGAATGCCTGAGCTGTCAGGGACCTGCATTCAGTCTCAGGGTCTCTCCAGGGCAGTGATGAGACTGAGATCAGATGAGGCGCTGGGTTTCCCTGGGTGTTGCGGGACTGGAGGCTGTGACTGCCTGGGCCTAGTGGCCCGGTTTGTCCAGTGGATGCACTGGTTCTCAAACTTCCTACTCTTGATAACAACAAATTCCACCACCTCCCTTCCCTCATCTCCCGAGGCCATTCAGCCTGTTTTTATCGGTGGTTAATAGTGACTGTGTGTATCATCATATTTCACCCAGTCAGCCTTGTCTAGGGAAGCAGTCATGTCTTAAATTGCTCTCTTAACCACCTGGCTTTTGGACCCATAATTTAAACCCTTATCCTTGTGAAGTACCGTCGCTTGTTTTAACGGAACTCTGAATCTTGTGGGGTCTTCCACTGAGCCACATGGGTCCCCTCCATAACTCACACCGACTTTATGCATGGAAATCCCTTTCTTTTTGTCAGTTGCAATTCCAGCTGGGGATTAGTCCAGCTTTCAGTTAAAGTGATATTGTTTTCCATGCTGTTTTCCTTCTGCAATCATTTGTGGTCTCCTTTTGTGTTATAATGAAAGCATGCTTTCTTTGTCTTCATTCTTTATTAATTGCACATTTTTCCCAAATCAGACAGCTATCTACTTTTATTCTTTCCCAGAGCTAGTAAATAAGAAGTCATAGTATGGTTTCTGAGAATTGGTTTGCTTGTTTCTAGTTCTGAAGAGCAAATGGCCGAAGTAGTTCCAGTTTCTTTGCAGGGAAATAAATCCAGAATAACAAAAAACTTTTTTTGTGAAGGTAAATGACTCTCAAGTATTTTATGACTGCTTTTTCTTTGATCATTCTCTTTGCTGTTCTTTACTGGACTAATTTTCTCTAACCTAAGTGCTGTAGGTAAAACCTTTAGTTGGCCACTGATTTTAGTAATACATTCAGCTTCCTTAATCGTCATCTTTTGTTTTCTCTCTGACAGACCATAACCTCCTGGTAATCACGTTCTTATGTAAGGTTAGATTATTTTCTCCTCTTTCTGCTTATGTCAGTTTCTCTCTCTTCAACTGCATTTGTAAGCTATTGAGAAGGAACTTGTCATATACTTCCCCACTGCTTCATCAAGTCTAGCAACTTTGAAAGAATCATCTGTTAAATGTCCCCATCGTAGAGGGTGTTTCTCCCTTTCTTCAGCAGTTTTGTGTTTTGTGGGCAGGGGGCAGCTGGTCTGTATGGGTATCTGAACGCTTCATCTTGATGCTATCAACACCATGCTCTAAACAGCTGAGCTAACCAGCCATCCTCAGCAGTTTTTTTGAGGTCACAGCCATTTGTCTCTGCAGGCCCTCAGAGCACCTGCCGGCTGCCTCATTGCTGGGTCTGCTCAGCAGATCCTGGAGCTATTACAGTGTGTGACAGGACATTTTTACCTGAAAACCTTCTTTTGATTATGGTTTTGGCAATGATGTGGCTATATCATCAGAATTCTTGGCTACTCTGGGACTCCCTGAGTAAATAGTTCATGATTATAAGGGGTGTAGCTTTACTCAGAAATCTCTTGGCTAGAGAATTTGCAAGGCTGTTTCTGCAGATTCTGTCAGATTGTGTTCCTTGCTATTTTGTTTTCCCCTTACTATCTTCTTGTTTCATGCCCATTCCCATGTGAATTTTCAGTCTTCTCTTGTCTTTCAGGCCCTGTGGCTTTTGTCTTATTTTCACACCTGTCTTTCAAGCAGACAGATACATTTCAGTCATTTGAACATACGCTGTGGAATCAAGAGAATGTGCATATATATCAGTTTCCCCCTTAACTTTCTTTTGATCATATAGTCCTTTTTATCCCTTGGCCTGAAAAGTGCATCATCATTCTTAGGTTTTCCTCATTTGAAAGCCACAGAGGAATAAATGCTACTTCTCTGGAATGCATTGTTTGCGTTTGTTTTTTTTTTTTCTTTTTTTTCTATAATCCAGTCAGTCATTCTTTAAACAATGGTCTTTTCTAGAATAAATGCTACTTCTCTGGAATGCATTGTTTGCGTTTGTTTTTTTTTTTTTCTTTTTTTTCTATAATCCAGTCAGTCATTCTTTAAACAATGGTCTTTTCTGACTGCCAGAATCCATGTCAGTGCTGTGTTTACTTTCTCTGATCATTTGGAACGGGGATGCTTTTTAATCGTGGTTTCATTCATCTGATTTAGAAAGCAACTCCAGACTGCCTCTCAGATGCTTGTTAATTCTGCATCCAGGTTTAGCCTGAGTGACTATGGTTTACTTTCCTAGCAAGCAATTAACTGTTTCCCTTTCTTAAGGCCCAACAGGCCTCGGTTCTGATGTTCTCATCAGACACAGCTGGAGCAGTTCTTTTATCCTTCAGGATCATGACTGTCTCCTACTAAATTCCATGCCCCATTGGCCGGGAGCAGAGACTTGTGCAGAAGCTGCATTTGCAGAGCTGGACATTGAGCTTTTTCATGGAGGAGTGATCTGTGTTTCCTCCTGTTTTCATTTCCATTTTCTTTGCTCTCACTCTCTGAACTACCTCTGACTTCAGGATGTGAAATCTGTTTAGAAACTATCACTTCACAGTTCTACCAATTCCCCCCTATGCCCCCCCACAATTCTTCAGTTCCTACCTGCAAATTACTGTAGTATTGTTGGTGCCTTTTCCCTGCCAGGCCCTGCGTTGGTGCTTTGCGGAGCACTGTCTTACTGGATCCTCAACAAACCCACAAGGTAAGGACCACTTCCAGCTTACTGATGACCACACTCAGGCTCTACAGGAGGATGCAGGGAGCCATGGTCACACAGCAAGAAGAGGCGAGCAGGCTTCTAAATGATGTGCTTCCATCCCAGGGGAGGTGCAATCAGTAACTATATCTACACCTTTTGGTGGTTTAAAAAACCTGATTTTTTAAAAAAGTTACCTTGATTTGAAAGAATTAAGAAGGCTTGTAACACGTTCAGCCCTGGACTGAATCCTCCAGGCACCAGAGGTGTGCTAATCTGGGCCCTTTTACCCCTCATGGCCCTGCAGCGACCCTCGCTCTCCTTCACTAAGAGCTCCACGGTGACTCCAGGGGCTTCTGGTAGGGTTGTTCAACATCCCTGCCCTCTGCCCTTCAGGCTACCCGGCAGCAAGGGGGGTTCTTACTTTGGCTGCTTTCCCATCATGAGGAAAGAGGCATAAAAGCTCCTTTCTAACATTACA